TAATAATGGATCACATCGAGGCAAAAATAGAACATCAAGCGTTTGTGATATGATGGTCTATAACAAGGAAAACCATCCACTGCCAAATTAAATGGAAAGATTGATTAGTAAACGCATCTCACCTGGGTAAAGTCAGAGCAATCTTTGAAGGAGACTTTATCGTCGCATCTTTTGCTCTTGAAGGAGTATTCTTGTCCATGCTTAACCCACATCCAGGCAGGGACACCAGGGGATGCTTCGAAGTTTTCAATACTACCGGCCCAATTGTTTTGGCCAAGCCGCTTCCAAATTCCGGGGTCTTTGTTAATGAAGCGGTCGTTCTTATTTTGGCACATTTCCACCCAGCTGTTTGCTTTTGCTGCCAAAAAGTCGTCCCATCTCTGTGGAATTTAGTACAAGATTTGTGAATCTCATTATTATAAAAGTGACATTGATTGCCTTAAATTCCTGTTTACGTGGAAAGAAAAAATATCAAAGTTATTCGAGCGTGATGTTGACCGATACTTCAGTGGGTCAAACTGCGACTGCAGGCATCCATGTTTGCTAATTATTAGTATTTCATACTTTGAGTGCGCATGCGCGCATGCTAAATGAGCGGCTGAAACATACGTGTGATGCGGGCTGTTGTGCGCGTTCAGCGTTGCGCGTATTGTTCCAAAGAGCCAGCGCTACAGAGTTGGGTTCACTGATCTCTATATTTTCGTGAAGGGGTGGTTTGGAACAGAGAAATAAGTTTTCCACCGATTTTGTATTGAAATAATAGTTCAAATATATCAAATGACAAGGATCTGTATGTCAGTGATATAACAAAAATATTGAGTGGCTTTAAATTGTGAAATGGGAGGAATATTATCGCTCGGTAAAATCTGGACTTTTCCAGTTAACTCGGCTTCGCCTCGTGAGGTCCAAATTTTACCTTGCGTAAAAGTTCAAATTTTACCTTGCGATAATATTCTTCCCATTTCACTCTGAGCCACTCAATATTTGTATACTGGCAAGCTGTCATTCTGAAGAAATCACTGAAAGAAGGCCTTTCCAACGGTGCGTCAAAGGAGCTGCAATCGGCTCAGAGAGAACGTGTCTCGCATCGCCGAATAAAAAAACCGAACTACTAACGGAAATTGTCTTTAGACGCACCGTTGGAAAGGCATTCTTTCGTTGATTTCTTGAAAATCACAGCTTGCCAGTTACTTTTTGGAAAGCTGCAGATGATGGACTGTAGCTTTAATGAAAGACATTTTCTGACTCATTTTTGAGTAAGAAAATGGCTGGTACCCGCTGCTACACGCTGCTACAAACATATTATTCGAACCGGCCAGCCAAACCTGGCAAGCTCATTGGTCTAGTGTTTAAGATATATGAACTAGAAAGCAGGTGGTCGTGGGTGCGAATCCCGCCCATGCAAATTGTTATTTTTTCCAGGCAATTTCTCGGACAATACTGAGCACACAGTGCGTATCAACAGTGGCGCACCCAAGGCGGGGGGGGGGGGGGGCGCTTGAGCCTCCCAAGGGGTTGTCAATGTTTCTTTTGTAGTTCCACGACCTGACCTTGGTAATATTGGAGTGGTATAATAGGGTTATAAGTGGTGCCACCAACGTCAAAACATTCCCCCCCCCAAAAAAAACCCAAAAAACCCACAAAAACCTTTTTTTTTCTGCGGCCAAAAGTTTTGGTCAAATTTTACCTTCTACAAATTTGAAAAAAAAAAAAAAATGTGAGCCCCCTCAAAAAACAAACGCTTGGTGCACCACTGCTATATCAACACTACGTAATGTAAAGGGCAAAACCCAATATTGACCAATTATTGGCTCATTTATGTCACTAAAATGTATTAACGTCAAACTATTGGAGGATGTGCCATAGTGTGCATTTTTGATAAAGGAGTGTTTGTGGTTTTTCCACGTTCTATCCCTGGCCATTTGAGGTAGAAACATGATCGTCTAATCTTCCTAAGTCTTTTTAATATAATCGGTGGTGCCACACCCATGATTACTCACCACTTGCAACATGTTGGCAGCTGGAGGGTCTTCTGCGGAGGATCGTATCAAATTATGAGTCGAAACCATCACTTTTTTCTCATCTTCGGTAAAATGTTCCGCGTTGATGATGGAGAAGATTACACACAAGATGGTAACACCAAAGTATGCCATGATGATAACTTAAGGTTACACTAGCCTAGATCTGAATACATGTACCACAAGTGCTTTCGTAAGGCTCTTCCTTGCTCTATGGCCAGACACATAAGTGTCCCGTTAACAAACTGCAGCATGAATTGTATAGAACACGGAGATTTTCGAGGCTGACACTCTGAAAGCACAACGGACCGGGTTGGAAACGTTCACTGACTCCGAAGAATACACACATTCACTGCATGTTTACCATTAGGCTCTTTTCAATGCATTTATTCCGTTTCTTCTTGCATTTGTATGGCCTTTCACTTGTAATGCTGAGTTGAAAGGTTTATTCAAATGCAAAACTAATACGCCACAAATGGCAGAGATTTATTGGGGTTTGTACTGAGCCGAAGGGGAAGCTTTATTGTATACTGGGAAGAAAGGGCACAAAGTACAGCGCTCCTCTCGCATATATGTTATTTGCTTTGCTATTTTTTTATGTTGCATGGAAACTTTTACGAAGGAGCTTCCCCAGCAGACTTTTTGGACGATACATTTAATATTCTATAGCAAGTGACCTAGGGGCTCATGTTGACCCCAACCCACCCCCGGCCGGAAAAAAACACTACACTGGGATTCGAACCCCTACAAAGCATAAGCCGGCAGCCTTCCGATAACGTGACACATTTTAAGCACGAGGGGAATCCCGCCCCCCCCGCTGTTTTGGTGATTGTGTTCCCGTAATCTTAAGAACCCTTTTGAGATACTTATTAATACTATTCTTTATTCGGCCATGCATACAAACATACAATAAGCAATCTACAAAAATAAATAAAACTAAACAAAAGCAACCAAATTCAAGCTGGCGAGGATATAAAACACCGTGTCTGGAAAGCCTGTCGATCCTACCTTGAAACAGTGACATACAAAAATAAATTTAAAACGTAGAGAAAAAAAAAGACCACATTGAAATAAACATAAAAAGGATAACAGATTGAAAAGATTAAGGGTTAAAATATTGACAAAAAATACAAATTATCAAAAGCAAGAATAGTTTGTTTAAAAACATAGCAATGTGCAGATATAATTGATGTTTAAAAATGTGTATAATTGCTCTATGATCCATCTGATAACATGAACAACAACAAAACAACAAAACAACAAAACAACAACAACAGCAGCAGCAACAACAAAATGTAAAAAACAAATGGTAAGCAACCGAAAAAATATGAACATTCAAACGGGGGCATGGGCGTCGCGAGGGGGGGGGGGCAAGGGGGGAACTTGCCCCCCCCCGGAAAATAAAAAAAAAAAAAAAAAAAAAAAAGGAAGAAAAAGAAAAGAAAAAAAAGAAAAGAAAAAGAGGCGCGAAGACAAAGTGGTGTAAATTTAATGAGTTGGGGGGGGGGCAAAATGTCCCTGCCCCCCTCTAAAACTGATAAATCGAGAATGTGTGGAGAAGTACAAGCATTTTTTGGCCAAAAAATTGTTTGCCCCCCTCTAGAAAAAATCCTGGCGACGCCCATGAACGGGGGTCGTTTCGTGTACTGTGGCAATCTTCAACCACGCGTCAATACATTTGTCCAAAATGCAACAAACTGGACTCATTACGTATGACGTTGAGGAATACACAGTGTATCACAAATGCACTCAAAAGCACATTTTTCCTGAAGAGTAACGACACTATGAAAAATCCTTACATTGCATTGCCTACCCCTCAAACTTGTACATCAGAAGAAGAGTAAACAAGTTTCAGCATTGCAAATTTTCAAACACTGAGCAAAACATTCAATACTTCTGTCACAGTTGAGCTTGGTATATAGACGCACCTCACCCCTCTCACCCATTATCTGGGCATGGCCCTTTAAACACCATTTGGCTATTACATGTATTCATTTAAAATTGTCACCTCGGTCTGCAATTTATTCATGTATTATTTCAGATTTTAATTAAGTGGATTTATACTTCGAAATAACTTATACTTCGCAACTAACTCATTACGTAATATTTTACCAACGTGACCCGGCCCGGTGCATAAATACGTCTTTAAGTAAGCGTCGTTCATCTTCTCCATATACACGTAATTTCAATTCTTCTTCTTAGCGTGTCCAAAAACATCAAATGTACTTCAGCCATTGTTGGACGCATTTTTTGGGCTATATCATTGTAGACTACAATTTCAATTCAATTCAATTCTCATTTGCTCATCATGCCAGCATGAAATTCTATTTATCGGTTTGCACATAATACAATACATTGAATAATTAAAACAGACGGTATACACTCATGTTAAAACATTCAATGTAAAAAATAAGCCTTATTTAATAATAGAAATGTTGGTTAAAATAAAGTTAAACCATTAAAACACACAGAGGGGACGAGGGAGGTGAGCAAGAGAGAACAGGGAGAGATAATAGAATCTGGGAGAAAATATCAAGAAGAAAGGCAAAGACTCGTACACACACAAACAAAGAAGTAATTATGTAACAGTATATAATACGAAAACATTAACGAGTATATGATTACGCATAACACGCACTTCGTGTTTACAAAAACACTCCCGTTTATACAAGATCATCATGGTTATTTTTAGCCCTTAAATGCCCACTTAATGTAGTAAGAAAATATCAAGCTTGTTATAAATGAAAACAATTTCATTTTATCTATAACCATACGAGCTGTAAAATAAGATGTGCTTATAGTCCATCTTCCATACAGTACAATCCTAAAGAGGCGTTACCCCCCCCCCAAGTTGATTTGTCTTTTGTGTAATTCAATTCAGCCAAGGCTGGATTATTTCCAATTTCACTGGCTATGGACATTTCTAAACGAGTTTCGTTTCCAATTTGGCTTCACAACTGGCTTTAGAATCACTAACCCTTCTATATTCAAACTTTACTGAAAAGTATAGACACATATTAAAGTTCTTCATAAAGCAACAAGTTGAGCTATATATGTTTGGCAAAAAGGCCTAGCCCCGAACAAAATAATGTGGGGCTTACCTCATGAGCTTGAAGTTACAGCCTGCAGTAAAGGCAATGTGAACACCTATTCATACCCATCATTTGCAATGCCACCTTTTACATCCTTGTTTCCCCCAGCCTCAACATCACCTGCAACATTACTTTCCATGTTTCCCTCTTCGCCACTTTCCATAGTTTCCATGGGGATCAGATTGCTACCTCGGTCGGTACTTTCACCAATCCCTACCTCTTGGCAAGCTTTCCCGAGGGTCTTCGCTGCTAGCGCTCTCCCATACCCCTCGCTGATAGACCGAGGTCCAAAGTTCACGTAAGTATGTTTAAGTTCCGTAGTTTGGTCGTTAATTTTCTGGTCGTCTTCGCTGCCGGCCTCTGCGTCTGCGTCCCGCCCTGCGCGTTCCACGCGCGCGCGCGGTGGACGGCGCGGACAGATTGGCGGAACACTCGATGAAGAAAAACTGCCAGGTTCGCTTGCAATCAAATCTTCCAATTTTTCTACTATTTGTCCGAAGGTGCAACGCATCTTGGACGAATCCTTCCAGCAATCCTGCATAATTTTCGATCTGGAAAAAATATAAAAACCCCTGTTTTTATTTATAAACTCCATCAGCAACTTTTTTTTTAACAGTGATGACCGTTGTTTTCCCACCAGTAGTTTGGAGGTACACTGTACGTTTTTTTCACTAAAAAGGAGAGAAGTAATTGTCAGACCGAATACAATTTACAAGGAATCTTAAACGCCGGGATTGAACTCGTCACCCTGATCTGATACTGTCTCAGACTTTTCTCGGAAGGAAATGTTATGATGTTAGGACGACGAATTGGTTTTGAATGGTTAAATTATGATGAAAATAAACATTCTTACATCTTTGTAGGGCAAAACTTGGGTGGACTCATCCGCCCACCCTCCTTGAGATACGGGTAGATATCCTTGTTGTTGATGTTAGGATAGGGCTTCTTTCCGCGGGAAAATATTTCCCACAGAAGTACACCGTACGACCACTGCCAGAAGAACAGCACATTCAAAATACATTATTTTTTAATTCGGAGAAAAAAAAGGGTGTTTGTAAACAAACTTTCTCGAGTGGCAAAGATCATTATGACTTAACAAAAAAGGATTTATTAATGAAAGGCCATGCAATATAATTTTGTTTAATGCAATCCTTGGAAACACACCTTTGTGTCCCATTTAACTCTATTCTTCGCTTTTTGTTTTGTCATTTTCAAGGATGTTTTGGTGTCCTTTTGGTTTTTATGCTGATGCGAATTTCCATATTCATGGGATTCAGTGTGATGTCATTTTAGGCAGAAACCTTAATGTTACAACTTCAGCACGAGAAGTTGCCAGGATGTTGGATATTTGTAATTTTTTTCCTGATGATTTATTTTGTTGTTGTGTCATTACACGGTAGTAAGCCGATGAACAAACTTTTCTCACAAATATTTTCAAATAAGCAGATTTTTGGGTTCACAATTTAAACAGAAAACTCCTCAACTGAACAGTGTCTTCCTGAAATGACACCACAGCAACAGCGCCCTCCTTCAAGTTTGTCCAGAAAAGCATTAAATGTTTAAACAAGGGTTAGTACGCTTTTCAATAATTGTATGAAAAAAATCTCAAATATTTTCATACATTAATTTTAAGAGAAGTAGAAAGTTTCACAAAATATGTTCCTAAGAAAATTCCCTTCATGAACCCTCTCATGTATCTTTTCCATGCCAGTTTAAAATAAGATTAAACTAAAAGAAAACATAAAATAATATTTTCCCCTGTAGTGGATCACTGGGCTCCATGCGCGAACTATAGTGAGGGCGCTTTTTGACCATTTTTAAGAGCCCCCGGCCCACAGACATCTGTGCCCCGGCCGTAGACGGAACACACCGCGTGCGCGTACCGCACTGGTTTGCGCACGGTACGAATGTTGCGCGAAGTACATGTACGCACGAAAATTTTTATCCTGACAGGGACATTCCAACCTGGAATGCGTCCACTATTTGGGTTACAAAAATATGTTCAATGGAAAGAGCATTTAAAAAGAAGAATATAAACGTCCACACAGCCGTCCTGTAAAAACTGTGCGTTTTCGTTTTAATCTTGCGAGAACCTTGCGAAAATGGGGGTCACCAATATTTTGTCACTGAAAAATCGAGCCGTTCAGTACTAGTTGTGATCCAGCCGAACAGTGCTTCGCATTTTGCGGACGTGTAAGAAACAACATTTGTGTATTGGTATTGTGAGTGTTATGTTCCACATGTGTAGGGTGCATTGAATATAGACACGATTTGAAAAACGTATGGGCATTCCACCAAATGTCTGTCGCGTCCTTTTCTCGGGAACGGTAAGACATCAGGTTTGTTTCCTTTCAACAATCCAAAACATGAAATGTTCGGGGATTTCAGGTCGTAATGCCCCTTTAATTTGCACAAAGCAATAGCGTCTTCGAGAGAGCGTTGGTCGTCGTCGGCAATGCATTCGAATGTCTCTCCTGGTGACCTACCCAACTCTCCCTTTCTTACCGTTGAGGGAGTACTTGTATATGGAGCCCATATGAAAATGTTTGATTTGAAACTCACCACATCAGTTTTGGAGCTGTACTTCATGCGTTCCATTGACTCTGGTGCCATCCATTTGATGGGTAACTTGGCCTGTTTGTCCCCGCTGGTGTAGTAATTGGACTCGTCCAGATCTCTGGACAAGCCGAAATCCGCTATCTTTGCGACAAGCTTGTCATCGACCCTGCAGAAGAGGATGCGTGAAACATTTAATAGTCATTTGGCGGACACAATAATAGGGCGTCATTATTTTGGTGAAAGGGTAAATTAGGATAAATAAAAGAGTTTACACAAACCAAAAAACACTTTCCTACTGTGCCCACCATAATGATCACAAAAAACTCGTTACATCAGCGTGAAATGTTTATAAAATATAAAATGATGGATTTCCATGGTATCCTCATGCGCAAAAATGGCTTCAAGTTACACAATTCAATATTTGGTTTTGCCCTTCTCGGACGTCGCTGAACTCGGGGCAAATCAAAGTATCGAAGGTAAGATTCACATCAGTTCATCACCACACATCCATATTGAGTTGGGTCCAGCGACTGGGACATGGATTGTGTGGAACCACATATGTGCTGGTAAAAACTGATCATCAATTTGATAGCAACAGATTGTCACCTAATAACTTAATTGAGGAAAACAATGGGGAAAGGACTGTGTTTGCTTCCACCAGCCCAAGAGTCCAGATTCCAAGAAAGATGAACCACTGTTCTGGTGGGCGTCAAGACAGGCGACTAAAATCATGAAGCTGGCGCGTAGAGCCGAAGACAAATCTAAGATTTCAAGTCAGATGCTAATACTCACATGCAGTTTCTGGCCGCCAAATCCCTGTGGACGAACCTCTGCCGACCCAGATATTCCATTCCAAGGGCCACGTGATAAGCGAACTGTATAAGCTGAGAGTTGCTCACCCTCTGCCATCAAAAACACAAAGAAATGTTATGATCTCCAGTAACACCTACGACGTGAAATGTGGGGCCAATCTAGCAAACGAATAAAATTAAAACATTTAACTCTATTAATACTTCATCTGTATTCGATTGGTTAGGATGTCAAATAAAAAAATACAGTCAAATAATTGAGTAAAAAAAGAACCTGCTTTTGCTTCGTTAAGAAAGTCTTGAGATCACCGTTTGCCATGAATGGAATCACGATAAGTGGCTGCTCCTTCGGATCAAAGGTCAATCCCAACAGCCCCAGTACGTTTGGATGATCGAAGGTTTTCATAATTAATCCTTCCTCCAGAAATTTGATGATTTGATAAGGGTCACTTGTATCTGGAAAGAAATAGGAATAATTTCTAAAGATTATGTTAATGAAAGATGACACGTCATTTTTTGTTAAAGTTAATTGTTAATTAGATGACAATAACAATTCAAGCACATCGTGTTGTATATTACAAATACAATTTCAAATATATCAATCAATACCTACCCCAAAATTGGGTTATGGTTATAAACGTCAAACCATCTTAAAACCTTAGATCCAGCTTTTGAAATTTGCTCAAAAGTTAATAAACAAAACTGATTGACTAAATTGATATAAAATGGGCTAGTGGGCCATGATCCTTAAAGGCCTAATCGTTTAACCAGACTTTTGGAAGTGCTAGGACCTATACCTTGTACAGTTTTGACTGCCACTGTGCTCTGCGTGCCGCTAGGGGAGGAATCCTTGAGTACGGCTTGGTAGACTCGGCCAAAAGCACCTGTTAAGAGATAGGAACTTGAAATGATTGAATTTTTTTCAAGTTGTAGTCTCTCCGTTCTGCAATGCTGTGAGGCTTAACCTGGTAGTTCCAGTCGAACCCGAAACATTTTGCTTGGATATGTATTGCCTATTATACCTTTTGTCCAAATACTCCGGTTCCACCCACAATTTTGTGTGCGCAGACCGCACAGTCTTGGTCAGGTTTAATTTCTACAGAACCACCTGTCGTATTTCACTTATCTTGGTTGACTCCGAGCTAGCACCCCTCCATCAATACAGGTTCCTCGATGCACGAGTTTGTCACTGTTTTATCGAAATGTCTTAAATCCACTGAGTAGAACCTTAATGTCGATAATGTAAAGCGCACCAAATAAAATAAGGCACATATACCAGAATGACTGATCACGAAACTCCTACTGGATATAACAACACGGCCTATAATCCTCTTTGCACCTCACTGACCCACTCACTGACTGCCACTTGTAAGCCGGGCAGTGGTATTGTATAGGATTACCCCATAACGGCAACGAATAGTCTTAATCCGGCGAGACCTCCAGTTAATATAACCATTCTGAATCATTTGATAGAATTTTGTGGGCTCTGGGTCCAGCTTTACTAGACTTGCCTGGTCTTATCGTCACCGACACCACGAACTGACAACCTTTGCATCAAATGTGTACAAAAAAAATTAAAAATTCAAATTTTCTTTTTTTTTGCCGATATTAGCAGTTTGTATTATGAAGTTTAACATGACGAAGTTAAAATTGCTGAAATCATCTAAAATAAGCAAATTTTACTAATGAATTTTCAAGAAATTGGTAAATTCTGGTGTTTTTTGTTACCACGAAGTGACACTGCACAGGGTGTCAGTTCGTGAAAACAAAAAATTACGTGTTTTCGGAGAGTGCGCGCATGCGAGAGCGTTAGGGAGTGTCAGTTCGTGAAAACGAAAATTCACGTGTTGTTGGAGAGTGCGCGCACGCATGCGCAGTGTGTGCGCGCACTCTCCCAAAACACGCCAATTTTTGTTTTCACGAACTGACACTCCCTAACGCTATTGCATGCGTGCACTCTCCAAAAACACATACATTTTCGTTTTCACGAACTGACACCCGTCTTAATCATTTAATTGCTAATTAACTAAGTATATTTTCACAATATAACGTTTATAATTGAGTAGTTAAAGCATTTTCACGTTAAGTGATACTAAAACCTCTAAGATAGATAGATTATTTTACTGAGTAAATTCGTGTCAAACCTTTAAAAGCGTTTTTTTTTCTCCGATTTGTATTTCTGCAACGCTGACCACCGGGTGTCAGTTCGCGGTGTCGGTGACGTTATGTAAGGTTTGCGAACTCACCTTGTCCGAGCACTTTTCCCATGCTCAACTGATCGAACCTGATCTTTAAGTCATCGGGAACAATGCTGACGTTCTCGTTCAGGACGATAGCACTCGGTCGTGCCGTTCGTTTTCGACGCTGTGATGCAATTCGGCTGCGTTTCTTTATAGCGGCTGGGGAGAGAAGTTGACTCCGATCCACGGACTCAAAAATGAACTCTGGAAAGTGTGGTATAACAAAAAGAAACCTCGTTTGATATCCCGAGCTTAGGACATGGTTGAAATACGGCAAATTGTGCTCAATGCTCAATATTTATTCACGGACTCAAGTTGCATACCATAAATGGGGTTTTAGATATTATTTGGTTAGGAGATGCGATTTTGTCGGACTTATGACAACCATTCTGTTTCTGATTGTTTTGCAAGAAGATTGACAGAAAACGAGCTCCACGTTAACGCGCCATCAATGACAAATTTAGTGGGCTTGTCCATAGTTTTGAGTCTCTCCTATCGATTTTTGTTTTGGATGAAATCTAAAGGACCAATTCACGGTCCCCTCGCTATAAATCCCATCATATTTAATTTATTTTCCGATTCTGTCCAATTCTAACCCTTTCTATATTTAGACCGTAAAACAACACAATACATGTATATACTAAGACATGGATCTATAGATAATTCGAATAGTGAACACGTACTCTCTTACCACTTGATGTAGGTCATGTCTGAAATACACATTATGATTTATGAGTATAATTATAGTAATTGATGTCCATTATTATAATTGTCCACACTTGCATGCAATCGAAGGATGTACCAAGGGACCTATCAGTTGCTTCTAATACAATATACGCACCGTACTGTCTTACGACATGATGAAGCTACATGTCTGAAATACATTTTGAATTATTTTCATAACTATAATTGCTACAAATATTAAATCTGCACTGACATTTCTTTTTTTGGAATGATGTTATAGTGCCCTGGATATTAGACACACCATATTTGAAACTACATTTTAGGCACAAAATCCTGCTAATCTTTCGTGAGAGGAAGGCTTGTAATATTGCAACCGAATGGATACTACATTATTTGGACCGTTTGGGGTTCTAGGGCCTACTGTTTACATTCCAGTCTGTTTCATGCAGAATTCTACAATGAAACTTTAAAAATCGAAAAATCCAAGTATGTGATTAAACGGTTATAACTTGACACGTGAGAGACTTGTGTCTAGGCTAACCCATTGTGACAAAGCTTTTGCCAATGGTATTCCACAAACTTAAAACATCGCGTACAAGTAGTTTAACCAGCTCAGCAAGTGACATTTTCAGCTGTAAAGTCGTTTTCATTTCCTAGGCTAGACAGCTAATAAACGACCATGCATCGTGCTTCCCCCCCCAAAAAAAAAACAAAAAAAACCCCCAAAAACCCAATATCGACAAATTATAATCTCAAACAACAAAATTCAGTTTCGTTCTATATAAGTGGTTCATTTTTACACAAGTTACATGTTCTCATCCAAAACAACAGTCTGTTAAAAATACCAAGATTCGTTTAAAATACCAAAATTCGAGAAACAACTTATACATAATCGTTATTCCTTTCTCGGCTAAACAAACAATCATCTAGCACATCAATACATTGCAGAGACAAGGCCGTGATTGCTTACAATGTAGTTTATTTTTCACCACACAATATAAGGTGTAGGGTTTCCAATAATGGTGTATAAAGAATTCCAAAGAAAAAGAAAGACCAACCTTTGTAGAGAGCTCTGATCTGCGTTAAAACAAGAAACTCGTTGTAGCTCTTCATCCTGAGTGTCTGTCTGTAATACTTGACCAGCAGGAATATCAATAGGAAGAGTAAGCAGACTGCTGCTGGTGGGAAGATATAAACAGCGAGAACGAAAAGCCAATCCGTTGCCATCTTCACAGCGACGACTGCTTGCTCGAGGCTACCAGCAAAATTCTGAAGTACAATGTGAAAATGATAACAAAAGTGAAAAGCTACTTCAAGTTAATTCCAACACAAGGCAAGTATAAAGCTGGTCACTGAGCGCACAATTCTTGCGCACAAAGTGTTTTCATGCATGCATGTGGCCCGGGTAATCCTATATGATAGCACTGCCCGGCCTCTCCACCAGTCCACAACCAGTCTGATTCATAAGTGACATTCAGAGAATCAGTCCGTAAGATGGGCACAAGGAGGACATTTAGCTGGCTCTCTGGGACCAGCAAAATTTAAAAAGCCACTTCGAGTTAAAAAAAAAACCCAATGCAACGTAAAACTAAAAAAACTACTCTCTAAATGTAATGGTTTTTCACTATTTTACATTTCGAGAGTAATAAGCTGGATAAAAGATAGCTGTTAACCATTCGTCTTATTACCTACTATAGCATGCGCGGATCCCGGGTGGGGGGGGGGGGGGGGGGGGGGGGGGGGGGGGGGGGGGGGGGGGGGGGGGGAGTGCGTGTGTGTGTGTGTGTGTGTGTGCGTGACACCCCCAAAATAATATGCTGGTAATAATATTTGCCTGTGCACGAAAATCGGACAAAGCCAGCTGGGTTACGGGGGTATTTCTACACTATTCTCTTTTAAAGTGTTAATAATCTATTGAAAATATGGTACGCCCCCCCCCCCCCCCCCCACACACACACCCGTTGATTTTACGGCGGCCAAGTGTCCGGAGAAAAATTCCTGTGTACATTTCAACATTGATCTGCTGATGAAACTCCTCCTCTGTAAAAATTCCTGGATCCGCCCCTGTAAAGAAGATAAGTTGTTTCAAAGTCGTGTTACGCAATAAAGGAGGGAAAAACATTTAAATACATAGTAGGGCCTCCAAATGGGCCGTGCAGTTTTGACCTGTACACGGCAACAAACCGTCAACGTCGCATGCGCCTAAACTCGGAGAGTTACACGTACTTGTTCTTCAAAAGGGTTACACTTACCGTGGATGTGTAGCAGGCGCCAGATACAAGCATCAACTTATCCAGGCTGTCACTGGGCAAGCTATAGAAGAAAATACTTTCCAATTTGAGTCATGAAAGAAGCAGGAACATTAATTCCTTCACAGTCCTCATGATGTGCATACTTACAGGAGTGACATTGGAAATGCTAGCCGTCAAATGATACAATTCCACAATGTTTATTTATTTCATCTACTTCCTGGTTCAGGCCATCATTATGCCTACGTGAAGCAATATGCATGAGTGAAGTATTTCCAGCAATACAAAGGTTTTTTTTGTTACACTTCCAGCATTATGCGGAACCTATATGCGATCAGTCATCCTTACAAATGTCAATAATTTGAAAAGGGGATCGGAACTCTAAGGCCAAAAAAATAAAAAAACTCTCCGGTTTCTGGTATGCGCGCGCGTCGCCGTAGCCATGCGCGTCGGCAAAATGAAAACGTTTTTTTTTTAATGAAAGATGATGTCTCAAAACCGCCAAACTCACTGGTTTGACAGGAATCCTGCTGCTGCACAATTTTAACGTGTTTTTGGATGGGGTTATGATCGAGAATCAGCTTTATGTGGCCTCTCTGGACTCCCATATATTTGCACTAAGTTTAGTCGGGCACCATTTGCAGTCATCAGCCGACATTTGAGGCAAAACAAATCAGGTAAAAAAAAAAAAAAGCCGCGTCGCCGCACCACTATTTGGGCAAGCTCCATCATGAGAAACCGGAGACTTTTTTTGGCCTAAGGTGTTTTTCATAACAAGTAATGTTTGACTTTTTGGTTTCATTAAATTTACAAGTATAAAGCAGATCCTGGAGCTTGTTATATCGATTCAAGTAGTGCTCGATCGCCTTCGGGGGTCAGATAGGAATTTTCCAGAGTTTTGTCCTTAATTACAGTAAAAGGTTTTTATCTCTGGTTTTTCGCGGGCTGTGGTGGGAGCGGCGCCAGTGATCCCAACTGTGTATAATTTGAGGAGGAGACCACGGGCAAATGCCTATGTCTAACGAATGAATGAATTTTCGCGTATCTCAGGATCGTGCAAATTTATATAATGATGTTAAGCCAAGACGACCTAGCGGTACCTATATGTATGTGACTAATATTCCATAATTGTTTCGCATAATTTGTGTTTTTGAATGTTATCACAATGTAATTGAATTGATGGAATCAGAAGAACTAACAAGACGTTTGCGAAAGAGTGCGGGTGACTGCTACACTTGCAAGATTAAAACATTGGTTTTCGTGTATGATTTAATTTGTCGGGGCAGAGATGAGATAGCCAATCAATTTATTATTGAATGGCCATGCAATGTAATTTATTTAATGAAATCCTTGGAAACGCTTTTCGTATTGCCATTTTCAAAGATGTTTTGTTGTCTTTTTGGTTCGTTTTGCTAATGCGAATTTCCATATTCATGAGCAAAAGTGTGATGTCATTTTAGGCAGAAACCTCAATGTTACAGCTATTTCAGCATCAAATGTTGTCAGAATTTGGGATATTTTTCTGTTGCAAATGTCCTTTTTTTGGTGATTTGGTGTTTTGTCAGTACATGGAAGTAAGCCGATGAACAAACTTTTCTCACAAATATTTTCAATAAGCACACTTTGGGTTCACAATTTGAACAGAAAACCCCTCAACTGAACAGTGTCTTCCTGAAATGACAGCACAGCAATAGCGCCCTCCTTTGTCCAGAAAAGCATTACATGTTTAAACAAGTGCACTTTTCAATGAATTGGTATATACCTATTTATTCCCAGTAGGTGTCGAGCAGTTCGATAGCTCACTCAGTTGGTAGGGTCGTGATGTTGTACCGTCGAAGAATCCTCCCGGTGTGGGTACGAGTCACCGTTTTGTGCCCGAATTTTTGTTTTCTTTTCTCATTTAAGGCTTTTGAGGATTTTTAAAAAAGGGAAATAAAGTCCGAATTTCATTACAGTCGAATTCATTTTTTTTTTGTAATTTTATATTTTCTTCTCTTTTTTTTATTTTTAAGAGAAGTAAAGTCCAAAACGCCATAGCGTACACTTCATGCGGATGTCGTTTGGGGAAAATATTCGCAGACGTCGCGCTAAGTACGCACCGTGTATCCTTAAAGGGATATTACGACCTGGAATGCACCCAATTGGGCTACAAAATAAATACAATGGAAAGAGCATTTAAAAGTAGAATATAAACGTCCACCCAGCTATCCTTTAAGAACATGTGCATTTTTTGTTTTAATCTTGCGAGAACCGTGCGAGAACGAATTTCGGGGTCTCTTTTATTATGTCCCAAAAATCGAGTCGTTCAGTGCTATGTGATCCATTTTTCGGACGTGTAAGAAATAAACATTTGTGTATTGGCATTGTGAGTATTATGTATACCACACACACACACGCACAACGTGAAGGTGCATTTAATATAGACACGATTTGAAAAACGTATGGGCATTCCACCAAATGTCTGTCGCGTCCTTTTCTCGGGAACGGTAAGACATAAAGTTTGTTTCCTTTCAACAATCCAAAACATGACATTTTCGGGGATTTCAGGTCGTAATGCCCCTTTAATTTGTACAAAGCAATAGCGTCTTCGAGAGAGCGTCAGGCGTCGTCGACAATGCATTCGAATGCAACCTCGTCCCCAGTGCTTACTTTATTTCCAACCACGCTTCCAATAGTTAGCCCTGGATAGAAAACTTTCTTCCTGTATCGATGCCGCAATTGGCTAGTAATTGATTTTTATCGTGCACTTGGTGTTGTTATTCACAACGTGCAGTACGTGTTTTCGCGATCATTCGTCCACGCCTTCTCGAAAATACTCATTTCCTTTCCAATTTGTTCATATTAATATGAAATGTGATACTGCATGTTGTCTCGATAAGATCGTAACAATTTAATTAAATAAATCGTGTTTTCGTAACTCACGCCATGCTCGCGCTGCGACGAATTGACTCTGTTTTTATCCAAGACCCCGCATACAAGAACAAACGCTAATGTAACGCACATGCAGGCACCATACTATTCCTCATTTGCATACGTGTTCAAATATCTTGCACATGCAAATGATCCAATACCAGGGTGAGAGAGCTGTTAGTGATGGGCGCGTACTGCTCAACACCCTGGGGACGAGGTTGATTCGAATGTCTCTGGACAAGCCGAAATCCGCTATCTTTGCGACAAGCTTGTCATCGACCCTTAATACAAGGAGATTTATTTGGCGTTATAATTCTTGCGTTTCTTACTAAAATATAGTGGAGTTTTGGCACACTTTGTGAAAATTATGCCGGGCGATGTTAACGAGTGATGAAAACGGTGTAAATATATAACATGACACCTCTTGCGGTCTCATATTAAAATATTGTAACGCAAATGAGCGAGATTTCCTGTGGGGCGAGCGCGAGCAGGCGCGAGCAAGCGACCATTGTCTAACTATAGAGGGCGCTAATGCGCTACTGCGCTAGTTGCACACATTCAGCGCGCGAGCAGCAGTGCGTGTTCAGACATCGTCGGGAACGGACTTGCGGAGTGCTGAGCTCAGGTATTGGAGGCTACAGTGGCGCTACCTCAATTCGAGCGTGGGCCACTGTTAAGAATACTTGAGTGGGACTGCGGTGGGATGCCGATAAGGAAACTAGGGATTAGTTTCTGGTCCGTGTACTAGGGGAAGGGAGTTAACTTACCTTTGGAAACCCTAGGGGGAGGCACTCGTAGCCTCCAGAGGCTACAACGGGAGGATCCAAACTAGGAGGCGCATCATCATTATTTCCTTGCCCCATTTACTCTTGTCCTGTGTCATGTCTGTCCCCGAGGAGGTTTACTGAGGCTCCAGTTATTAGCCCTGTGCATTAGGCGGTACATTTCCGCTCAACAGGCCTACTCCACCGGTCTTAGGTCTCTTGAAGGAGGTACCACACCTGCTGGGTGACCACCGGGGGAACAAATCGTCCGGGGTAACTTGGTAAATCCGCTACAAAATTTATATAATATTGGATGGAGTTGAGGGGGATACAAGAAT